CAATGAATAACAAAGTAGCATTTCCCTTATGGTCTTGAAGGAAAGCTTGGAACATTTTCATCTTTAGTGGTCTTCCTAGCTCCATCAAAGATGCTGTTAACCGAGGCACCTTCTTATTTCTGGAGCACGTTAGGGAAAGCTAAACAATACAAGCACATGACCAAAAAGAGAAAAGTGTATGACTCAGAAGAATGCATATAATTGTTTGTACTTTGTATTGGAATCATAATCACATTTAACAAGCATTACAGGTAAATGAAAAGTGTATAACAAGAGAAATTTTTTAAAATGTGGTTGTACCGAACTAGAATAGCATACGCATGGATTCATGCGCACACATGCACTCACACATAGCATGCATGCAAGCCCATATATGTATAAGCTAGGTAGTTACAAGTACTGTTTCAAGGTAAAAGATGACACTTGTCTAATGCAAAGGGTCCACCTCCAAAAGATGCAGCAACTGCAACAGAGCCAGCTGCAGATCCTGCAGCACTGGCTAGCCAATAACAGGGACTAAGCTTCCTATTGTTGGGGCTATAGCACTGAAGCCTGCAGCGATTGCTGGAGCAGCTAAACCTGTTAAAAGAAAGATGTATAAGATGTATAAGATGAAAGGAACTTGAGAGGGTCAAAAAAAAAATTTGGTTATCTTAAGTCTGTGATTTCAGACCTCCAGTGATGGCCATCAAAGTTCCACCAGTCAATGCAGCAGCCCCAATAATACCACTGCGTTTCCATTGAGACCATCCGCTATCCTCTGATTCAATTTCATCTGTTTGTGCTCCCTCTTCTTTCAAGAGAGCCATTGCAGAACAAGCAACCATGATCTCCATTGCTTCCTTCACAAAAACAAGTTTTCAAACAGATATACTTAGCAGTTCTCAAAAAAATAATTTTTATTTGTGAAGTATTACCCAGTGAAGTTCGTACAACACCTACATAATTAACTATACAAAGATAGTTTTTCCATTTATCTAAATTTAGTAATTTTCATTGCCAGGGAGTACTAAGCCCATATGACACAATGCTTAAAGAATCATGATATACTTAGCAGTTCTCAAAAAAATAATTTTTATTTGTTGAGTATTACCCAGTGAAGTTCGTACAACACCTACATAATTAACCATACAAAGATAGTTTTTCCATTTATCTAAATTTAGTAATTTTCATTGCCAGGGAGTATTAAGCCCATATGACACAATGCTTAAAGAATCATGATGCCTTTCCAAAGGATTGGGTTGTTTCCCTTCTATGGCATATCCTGGATTAAGCCCATATTTGTAGTATTAATTTTAACCTTCACAACTTCCATAAGTAAGACTTCCCTATGGCAATCAAACATTCTCTCGTTACATTACATTTACTTCATTCGAGAATTTAAACAATATTCTTAGTAAATAAGTGTGCAATGCGCTCCATGCACTCCTCATGTACAAAACAAAGTTAACTAAAAAAAATTATCTCGAAAGAGATGGTAATAGTTATCTATTTGTTATGGATTTTAAATATGAAGACAATCACTAAAGACAAAGCAGAGAAGAGACTTCAATCATATTTAACTAAGATGCACTAGTTTGCTTAATAGAAGCAGTTTAAAAACACAGACCACTTTTATCCACTCGACATCAAGCCAGGTTGCCAACAATCTTAGAGCAGTGCGAAGACGAGCATCATATCCTTTTTTTAACTGCGGACTTCCGTTGCTTTCTTGAGGTGTATCAGCTACACAGGCAGAAAGAAGCTCAAACAGAAGTGTCATTCGCCGCTGGTAATTGACCGAAACTCCCCCCATAATCGAATATTCATTCTTAGACTGATTGAATTCTTCTTCTTCCTTGAACGCCGTCTTAGAATTAGTGACTTCAAGGTTTTCAGAATGCCCAGTTGTATCTTCAGAAATTTTATGCATCGTTTCAGAATCGCGGGCATATTGGTTTCCGTGCTTCTTCTTGGATAATTCAGCTTGAGCAGTTTGAAGCTTTGTTGCCATAGAATCAATTGTTTCTGCCAACACTCGTTCTTCATTTGACCTTTGAGAAGAGGATTCACTTTCCTCTTCGGATATTATCTTCAGGAACTGGGACATCATACAAAGACATGAATAGAACCCAGAGAGGAATTGGCACACCAAAAGTTGTGAACAAGAAGATAAAGATATTGCTCGCCACACACAGATCCCTTTCAAGAACTTCTAAACAATTAATAACTGAAACAAGCACCGTCAACACGTAACAAATGGGCTTGCAAAACGCAGATAAAGGAAGCCTGGCTGCGTATAATGTGATTGTGGTCATGTAAGACCATGAAGAGATTAAATAAGTTAAAATCAAACTTCAGAATTTGACGGTAGAGATGGAGCTTAACGGGTCGTGCTGAAAGAAGGAAAAGGACAGGTGCAACTTATTATCGGTGTATGTCATATGTAGATTAATGTTGTACTGTTCCCTTAATATTCGTTTCAGTTGGCAAACCGTATCGTCATTTTTCTTTCGTTGCCGGGGCTTGTGAGCCCAAAGCTGTGTACTCGGAGGGATCCGGTGGATTTTCCCGTAACAAGGAGACATCCTGAAGTCTACATTCACGGTCAAGATCGATCTTTTTCATCATCTATACCTCCAGCGTTTCTCCCTTGGTTGGATCTTCTTCTTTACCGCAATCATGGAGTTCGTTTATAGAATCTAAGTACTAGTCCTAGTAGATAATTATATGGGAAATTAACTAAAAACTGTCAAGATTTCAAATAATAACAAAAACGCAATCAGCAGAACAAGTTACTCGTATAATTTTTGTTTTTTTTTGTATTTTGTGTGTGTGACCAGAGTATGCGTAATAAACATAGGGAGGGAAAGGAGAGAATGGCGTACGGTGACGGCTTGATCCTTGGCGGGAGAAGAGCCCGCCGCCTTTTCGAGCCCCGGCCATGACTTTCGATCGATCTCCAAGAATCTACAGGGAATAAAAATAGGCAGAATAGATGGATGAGCAAAATATATAGAGTCGGGCCGGGCCGGGGTAAATACAGAGAGTCAAGTGTTTACGTACTGGAAGATGGGGCGGAGGAGGCCGTGGATTATGTGGCTCCAGAGAATGGACGCCGGGTCGGAACTGCCAGCCGCGCGCCTGCGAGGATTCTTCGCTCGTTTGTAGAGCGGTGGTGGCGCCTGAAAGACGGTGGCGCGGCCACCGGTGCGAATCTGGGCCGCTGGCGAAGGGCGAGGCGCCAGCAGGCGCTGCTGCTGGCATAATCTCTGCGACGATGTCATGGAGGCAGAGCCCCCGGCATTCGCTAATCGTCTATTTTTTATTTTCTATTTTTTATTTTTCTCGAGCTTGTTGGGTTAGATTTGGATCGGGTTCTGCTCCCTCTTCCGTCATCTATTTTTGCGGGGGTGGGGAGAGAAGAGTTCCGTCCGGCGCGTCGGAATTGGTGATGGCTACGTGTGCGCATGGGCGTACGGGAGTGACAAAACAAGAGAGAATTGAGAACGTCAAACTAACAAAATCAATGCCACAAACACAAACAACCAATTTTAACGTGGTTCGACAAGCTTTCTACCTCCATGGGGCAAAAAGGGGATAGAGTTTTTCACTAATAGAGAAGAAGAGTACAAAGTGAGATTACAAACCACTCAAACTCATCAATTAATCTCACCAACAAATCTCTAATTCTCCCCAAACAAAAACCTAACCAATAGTTCAGAAAATACCTCTTTTCTGTGCTCCAAATATCCCTAATTTTTTTTTCTCAATTCTCTCTTCCAATTGTTTCATATATATATAAATCCTAAAATCATAAACATACTAGGAATTCTAAAACAAAAAACAAAACAGATTATGAATCCTAATAACCTGTTACCAAAACAGATTTGAAATCATGTTACCAAAACAGATTAGGAATCCCAATAACCTGTTACCAAAACAAATTAGGAAACATATTAGGAACCTGCTATCTAACAATTCTCCACCTCGGCGAAGTTTTCCCAAAACCGAGTTGACACCAATATCAACCAAACGTCTCACTTGTTGCGTCCAGTACGAAGTAGAACAAATTCACGACAATAGACTCAATCCACAATAAGTTGAGAACCCAAACAAGAGTGTGAACAAACTCCAAATGTCGGTATCAACTCACCAACCCAACTGCATCATAAATGACTGCCTACGTATCCTCTTGCCTAAGGAATCAAGCATTCACGTAGTTCACCCAAACAGCCTCCAAAGCCCCTCAATCAAATAGAAAAGTTTGCAACTCTTCACCAATATCACCAACGGATCTGTAACTGATAGCGCTCCCAATGGCCCCAAACTGAAACAAATCAAACTACCTGAGGTGAACCAATGGCCGTATCCAAAACATGTCCACCAGCTGCACTCGAATCCAAAACCAACTCATCATCTGCATCCAAATCTAAATGATCTCCAAACTGTGTCACCTTAGCTAGAATCCCAAATGATGCAGTATGATCTAGAGTATGTGGAATAATCTTCATCCAATGTAAAGTAGCATCACCCTCTACCCGCTGTGATATCCTAATGATCTGATTAACACTCTCCACCTGCCGAGAGTCAAATGTGACATACTTGCTCAGAACAAAATCAGAAGCTCCTAACTGATAATCAAACGAACCTCTGAATCCCAAACGTGCAATCAGATCAAATCTCACATCCTCGATGTGAAATCTCACATCCTCGATGTGACCAAATGTTGGGCAACCAAATATCTGACGCAACCTAAAATCTGAAGCAGCTCCATCAGATCCAAAATCTCCACACGCAGCAGTCGGCAACCTATGACCAAGATGACCAAAACATGTCGAAGCTCCAAAACCAAAACTAATGCTCGATAATCAATGTTGATCCCCCTCTAGTAAGGAACGACCCATCAAAACTGTCATCTCATCTTGTCGCTCCAATGTCTCCACATCAATGAAGTGTCTCAAACTGCCATGACCTCGGCACAAATGCAAAAAAGAACCCCTACAAAAGTTAGAACGACAGGTTACCTTTCTGCCAATACACTTCTTCCAATTGTTGTTGACTTCTAGGACTTCACACCAACGGGACCTGGTTGTAATCCACCAATGCCTAGAACAATCCCCAACTACGAAAACCAAATATCGATTAGCTCCTAATGATACCTCCTTGGAAGGCTTCCAAATGCCTGACTGAACACCACCTAAAAGACCCATCGATCGATGGATAGAAGTGCCAAACTCCACATTGGTCTTCTTGCTCATACCAATGTGCTCAAAGGACTTCAATCTGCAGGTCAAAGCACTCCTTAACAAACCATGCACGGTATAACCAATCAAATAACCTAGCCTCAACAAATGCCACAATCTAGACAAATCCAAAAAAGTTGTCAGCTCTCTATCAAACACCGTGCTCCCAATCAAATAATACAAATTATTCCTCCTAACGCCCTTCATCACAATCATGGACCCTGATGTGACCTTCAAACATGAATCGACCAAGGTCACCCTATAGCCTGCTACCTCCAAAACTCCAAGTGAAATAATTTTCTTCTTTAACTGAGGAACGAACCTCACTCCAACCAACTCCCGAATCACTCTGTCACTCATCCTAATCCGAACGGTACTGATACCACCAATAGGACATTCATGATCATTACCCATGAGCACGACCTCCCCTCTTTCTAACTCCTGAAAGCTGGAGAATCAATCCCTCCTACGATAATTATGGTAAGAAGCACCCGAATCCAACATCCACTTTGTAGAGTCGGCAATACAAACTGACGGTAGTGCAGATAACGAGTAGCCCGAAGAATCCGAATCTGAATTATTGTCACTAGTCTTGACAACATTCACCTCTGAAGCTTGAATAACTTTTTCCTTATTCTTCCCGACTCGATCAACTAACTTTGGGCATTCGGCTTTCCAATGTCCATCCTCTTTACAAAAGGCACACTGATTCCTACGAACTCCAAGATGTGCTCCTCTAGACTGCGACCTCCTACCACGGTTTGGACTCTTTGCTCTTGTGACCAATGCCCCTACTACTGGCTCAACTGAAGTCTCCTTATTCTTCTTTCGAAGCTGATAATTCACAAGTGCAACAGTGACCTCACTATAAAAAAGAGATACTTTCCTATTAATAAGAGTAAGAACGAATGTCTCATATTCCTTATCAGGCAAAGAACTCAACAACAACAACGTCTTATCCTCATCTTCAATCATCACATCTACATTTGCCAAATCCGTAAGAAGCTTCGAATAGTGGTTCATATGATCACCAATGGAGGTCCTCTTCTTCAATTGGAAGTGATAAAGTCTCCTCTGTAAATATAAACGGTTCTCTACACTCTTGGTCAAATACTTACCCACTAGGATCTCCCAAATCTTCTTAGCTGAAGTCTCATTGATCACATCACATTTTAAATCTTGAGTCAAACAAGATTTAATCACACCACACGCCGTTCTATTCATCTTTTTCCAAACCTTCTCCTTGTTAGGAATCTTGACCCCAAGATTAGTTTGTTTTGATGATAATAAATATTATATGTTATGTGTATTATGTGCTAACATTTATTTTGCAGTATCAGAGCTATATCAATAATTATATTCAAAGAGATACTCAAGACATAGATGAGTTCAAGGCAAAATGAAGCAAAGAAAAAGATATACTTTATTGTCAAAATGTAATTTTATATTTTCTTTGCTTAGAAATTTGTACAAGCCTTGATCACTCACACACATATATACACATAGTGTTAGAACACACTAACACATGCTTAGCGTGTTGGTTAACAATAGAAATCCCCTATATTAGCCATTAGAGTTTATAGATATTGAGTGAGTCTTAAAACATTTCATTTACACCCCTTAGAAATTAGAATCTGGAAAAACTCAAAAGACCAAAGTTGTAGGTCTCTTCAACACCTTTCCAACAAATCTTAAATTACCTCATTCTGATGTCGGATGAGAAAGTAACAGCCAAAATACTAAAAAAAAAAATTAGAATCTGTGAGTTTACAGTGTAGTCGACTACTATGCCATGTAGTCGACTACTAAGCAATTTTCTGATTTCACAGAGTCTGTTTAGACTCAGTGTAGTCGACTACTATGACTTGTAATCGATTACAGATGTAGTTTTTCCAGATTTCAGGTTTTAAATAAGTGATTGTTTATTGTCGTTTTGTGGACGTTAATTGGGTTTAAAATTATGTCATTTCAGAGGCTATAAATAGGTTTAAACATCAGAAAACAAGCACCAAGTTTTGCAATTGCAAGATCAAACATTTTGTGCATATTCACTCTCTAATTTTCCAGATTTTCATGCTAAGTGTTTAGAAAAAGAGAGTTTCTGATATTGCCTTGGTTTCAATCATTCTTAGAGATTATATAGGCAATATTCAGAGAGTTAAAGAATCCTAACCCACTGCAACACTTCACTCCACATTTAAGGCTTATAGGATCAATTGTGTTCTTGCTTCAAAAAGGATTTCTCTCGGGTTTGAGAGGGTTGATCTCTTGGTTTAGAGATTGGGTGGCAATTGGCATGGTTTTGTCAATTGGTATTTGTAATTTGCATGGTCTTGTAAATTGGTCAGGTTTGCTTTTGATTTTGTAAGATTATTCAAAATCATAGTGGAAACTCTCAAGCGGGATTTGCTTGGGGACTGGATGTACACCGGGGAGATGGAACCAGTATACATGCTTGTGTTTATGATGTTCATTTTCTGATATTATCATTCTTTCTTTGCAATTTATAATCTACTTTGCAAACTCACCCTCTAGTGTTTAAGTGTAAAGGTTCCGCAGATTTTTATAAGAGCACACTCTATTCTTAAGGGTCACGATCCTACACTTGGTATACATAAGCACAATCAGGACCCTACACTCCTCAATGTCGATCGGTTTCCCGTCCAACTCCAAAGTATCTTCCAAATTTTGCGCATTGAGCGCATCCAAGACTTCACATCTCCAAAGAACAAAATTGTTTTTGCCATTAAACTTCTCCACATCTATCTTCATAGAGTGGATATTCAAACTTTGGACGGTCTTCACGCCGGAAGTACCTTCCATAACTCATTCTTTCCCGACCATCTTTCTCAAAGCACCAAAACGAATACGGAACAAATGAAGAATAGATCCAAAACTAAAAAAGATAGAGTCTTTATCAAAAAAGATCCCACATTTATCACCAAACGAAGCACTAGGCGAGCCTCCAAAACGACCTACTCCTCCAAATAGCTCATTCGTAGCCCGAGCTCTGATACCAATTGTTGAGCGTTGCGGAAGCC